AATGTGATAGATAAAGCATAAGAAGATTGTCAGAGCACCAGTCAGTTGTTGTCAGCCCACAGTCAGTAGTCAGTCTTAATTAAGCGTCCCCCCAGCCGGCTGGGTCAGCGTCCCCACAAAGTACACGGTTTACTGTCCCACTAGCATTGTCATCCTCTCTCCTTCAGGCTCACTCTTTTATCAGCAGCTGTTGCGTCAATTTCTGAACTTAGCTTCCTGTCCCCAGTTTCAGGAGACAACACCCTGAGATGTACTTCAAAAACAGGAAACATCTTGACCAACTTACATATGCCCATTGTCCAACTCACATGAACTTAATGAACCCATAACCACTCAGCTCTCCCTCACACAACTAGTACAAATAATATCTATCTGAAGTATCTGAAGTACATACTGTTCTATTACATATTATCTCTGGAATCTTGTTTATTGTTAACCACTACACTGTTGCCATTAAAAATTTGATAAGTTATAACTCATTAGTGGATTGCTATATTTCAACCAAACATAAGGGACATGTGCAGCTAAGGGTCATAAAATAGTGTGCTGAATTTCATGCACCAGTGCCAAGAGCAGGTTCTACAGTGAACATCAATGCATACCAAAATATAAAGCTAGCTATTTTTGCCCTTTTTCATGTAGGAAGGTCATTCAAACACACAATAACACTACACACTTTGCCCTACTTGGGTGTAAAGTAGATTTTTGATTTAATGTATAGTTTTGTTTACTGATAGGTGATTAAACTTGATGTTGTGATTTTGACTGCTTTCATCTTAGGCTCCTCCCCTTTCATTATTCAATCAATCAAATTTTATTTGTATAGTGTCAAGTCACAACAAAAGGCATCTCAGGACACTTTACAAAGTAAGGTCTAGACCTTACTGTTATCACTGTTATTACAGAGGGAAAACCCAACAAATCCCACTTGAGCAGCTTGGTGGCGACAGTGCGGACGAAAAACTCCCTTTAACGGAAGAAACCTCCGACAGACTCCGGCACTTGGTGGGGGAGAAAAATCTCCCTTTAACAAAAGAAACCTCCAACAGACCCTGACTCTTGGTGGGCGGCCTTCTGCCTCGACCGGTTGGGGTGAGTGGATAGAGGAGAGAGAAAAGAAGAAAAGCAATAAAACACAACAAACAATCAAACACTGGTCAAGTTGATGTGGCCGGTGACTGCTCATCAGAGACGTAGAGCTCCAGAGCCAGGGCAACCTGCAGAGGTACAGGGAGAGAGAGAGAGGACACACTATGGGAGACAGGAGATGCAAAGTTAGTGATGTGTAATGGTGGGATATAGAAGCATAGAGAGAGAGGAGAGGAGAGAAACTCAGAGCATCATGGGCCCCCCTAGCAGCCTAGGCCTATAGCAGCATAACTAAGGGAAGGCTCAGGGTTACCTGAGACAGCCCTAACTATAATCTTTATCAAAAAGAAAAATCTTAAGTCTACTCTTAAAGGTAGTTGATAACATTGCCATGGTGTCAGTTACTTCAGTCATTCCATCTCTCAATTATACAAGAGTCCTGGACCTATTAGTGTTAAAAATTATTTTGATCTTTTATTGTTTTTAATTGAATGCATTTTAGTTTTAAGCCCCTTGTTCAACCTCTCTGGAGATTTTTCCTCTTATTTCATGCTGTTCTGGCAGGGTAATATTTCTGTCACAAATACATAAATGCTATACTAGAATGTTCTGTAGGTCATCCTGGTTCATGAGGTCTAAGAATCTCATTATCTATTATGTCCTGATCCAGCCAAATCCCACATCATTATCTACATGATATTTTAACATGTTGTCATTGGGTCTTATTTCATCACGTGTGGACAAGCCTTGTACTGCTGTGTTCTGCAAGTCCAACCGACAGCTCAGCGACAATAGTGCATGGCCTGGTAGTGCAAGGGGAGGCAGTGGCAGCAGTCAGAGCTCGCACACCTAAAATTTATTCAGAAATTTTTAATTTGTCTCGTTACATTTTTCTTAGCCATGTTTTACAACTTGGCGGTGTTTCAATGGATGTCATGTTTCCTCCTGAAGCCACAGCTATTTTACACCAGTTTAGCTTTGTTCTGCTCTGTACTGTGATGACTGAAGCCCAAGTGTGACCACATGACCAACATGGCATCTTCTTTCTGTACAATGATCTGTATCTGCATCCACAGTTGGAAATTGTCCAACCACTGAGCCATTTTTGACTTAGACTTAAACAGACTAGCTCAGCACTGAATTTAAATTTGTTAAGAGTGTCCTAGGGTTGGTTTTGTTGAGTTTTCTTGCCCAGCCTCACTTAGCATCTTAACTTTGTATACAGATGCTTTGTAAAGTTAAAATGTGAATTCCTGTGATGTGCTATAGATCCCAGGTTTCTGCAAAGATGGAGAAGGCTCGTCTATCCCTGACCTACAGGCTGATGTCAAGTGTGAGATGTTTGCGGGCTACCAGGCAGTGTACCGCATCTGCTTTGGCCTGAGTATGTGGTTCCTGGGGTTTTTCATTCTTATGATCAACATCAAGAACAGCAGAGACCCTCGTGCTGCCATCCACAATGGGTAAGGACTGCAGTAACACTAACAAACACTTTATTACCAGAACATTGCAGAGCTTTAGCATAGTATTTTTTTCCGAGATCTACTGGCCTTCATCATTCACACTTTATGAAACTTTACAAATGTGGGAGGTTCAGAGTCAGAAAGCAGGCATACAGAAAATGCACTGATGATGAGCTGAGAATGAGGGCAACCTAGGCATCAAAGCAAATGCAAAATTATCATTTGGCCTCAATCCTCACCTTGGGCCATCAGTCCTCACTGAAATGAGAAGAACCATGCCTTTCTCTGTCCTCTCCATCTGTGTGCTGTCACACTAGATCAGAGGTGTTGTAACTTACATGGCATGTTGCTCAGCAGACAGCCTTGGTCATGCAAGCACAGCTGATATCTCACAATGCTTTACTATACTGGAACTGTTTTTTATTAGTGATCTACAGTACACTGGCAATTTATTTAAGGTCAAAGTGGGTCAAAGTGTTTATTTGTCATATGCACAGTTAGGAAATGTGTTTCCCTGTACAATGAATTTCTTACTTTGCCGTCCACATGAATGCCACACAATACAAGTGAAATATAAAGTAGATGAGCAATAACACAAATCTAAATAGGCAGTAAAATCACAAATATAAGGCACTTTAAAGCAGCAAGTGAAGGAAGCAAATAAAAATACAACAAGAACACAATATAATGCAGAGAGAATATATGCTACGTGGGAGCCATGGAGTGTAAATACTCAGCAGTGAGTGTGCAATTATGCATGTGCAAAATGAGTATGTAAACAGTACAGATGGAATTACATGAGGCAGACCCTGAGTCAGCTGTTTAGGAGTCTGATGGCAGAGG